ACAGTTTCCAATGTGGACTGTGACAGTAGAAAACTTTTGCAAATAAATGTGTCAAAGAATTATTGTGAAATGTCAGTCCAAGTCTAATGAAGTAAATGCCACGTGTTTTGTACTTTGTTTTTCGAAACAACAGACCAGTGTGACATTTTAGAAATACGCTCCAAGCTTTTGTGTTGAGAAAAAGTGGCCGTTCAACTGAAGGTGGAAGTTAAGATACTTAAACACCTATGATTATATAAGGTTATCTGAATCCTAGTTTATAAATCACATAGAAAGGTAACTCTGTCAAGGAGAAAAATTTGATACGAAACTCTCGAAGTCCAGGGATGTTTGTGAACAGATAACTAGAGGGCTGTGACAATGAATGTATCGGAGTAAATTCATCACTGAGAGAAGTTTGAGCGTACACACTACAGTTAAACAATTATTAAAAATAGGTCGGTCCATCAACTGAGCAAATAAAAACATAATCGGAAATACTATTTGCTCATTTCTGCATAAAGTGTATTGAGTACTTGCGGAACGAACGAATATTAGGTGAATGAATAGAATCTAGTGCTTTTAATTGGTGGATGGTGACCAGCAGTGGAATCCAGGGTGTGCATTTCGTCCTATTTGGGACTCGTTATCTGGATGTACCTGCAAATGCTTTTAGTTCAGTATTTACTTGATGAGTGACTTGAATTACTCATTGAATAGATAGTAAACTTGGGGAAATTACTTCTTTTACTTTTACGTGTCTTTAGAGTCTAGTAAATTGATAAAAGTTATTATAAATATTGTAATTCAATGGAGATTTATCTGCGGAAACACTAAAAAATCGACTGTCGCGCTCACTTAAGAAGACCTTCTTCGCAGCTGAACTACGACTAACCTTCTCCACAAAACCTATGATTCATGTGAACGTGAAGGATAAGCTACCGCTGCTGGCCTCATCAATGTGCATTTATCAATTCACCTGCTCGTGTGGAGCCAGGTATGTTGGCCGTACCCAGCGCTCGCTTTCCAAATGTATCACCGAGCACTTACCAACATGGTTTCATAAAGGAGAAAATCGATGCCACCGCAGTTCCATCTTAGAACATCTGATAGAATCCGGACACCAAGCTACACCGCAGACAAACTCCAAAGTCGTCTACAGAGTAAGAAGTAGTCTCCCTAAAGGTGTACGAGTCAGACTTCTTCAAACTGCAGAAGCAATGGCGATTCACTTGCTAAGTCCTGAATTCTGCATACAGAAGAAGTTCGTTCAATCACTACACTTGCAATGGACGTAATCTATCTTATTAGCCGACAAGTAAATTCTACCTAATCTTTTCTTCTGTCTCTTCATTAGTATTATTTTGTCTTCTCAGTTGTAATATTTTACATTTTCAACTTTCTTGTTCTCTACCCACACCCGATTCAATTTCTACACCTCACTACCACTGTTACTGACTTGAAAAACTCTCAGTTTCTAGTCATTTATGTTACGTCATCCAACTTATTTACTCAATTTCACGTCTACTTAATCTCTACCTGTAATTACCTCTGTTGCTATCCTGACCTAAGTTATAACATTTTAGTCAATTATATTACGTCATCCAGCTTACTAACTCAATCTTACTTTAGTTGCTGTTTGATTAACTTTGTCTCTATACTACATCATTCTTGTATTAACTAGTCAATTATCTAAACTTGAGGAACCTCATGTACACACACACACAAATAATTATATATAAATGCGATTGTACAGCTATGTGAATGAATTCGCCGAAAAGAGTCTCTTCGCTGAATGTCTTCTATTTTTCATATTGTAATTCATTCTAGTTCCACTGTAAAGCTTGTTTATTTAATGACTTCTACCAAATACAACAAGACAACTCTCCTGTAAAGAGTGAAATAAACTCACTGAAATCAGTCATATTCACCTAACAGACAATACAGTTTCAATTATCAAAATTCAACACGAGCTAATATCAGTTAGGCAGACTATTGAAAACCAGAGAGCACTGGACATCTGTTTAGTCCTATTTTGGGACTCTCCAGCAGTGCATACCTAGGACCTCACTAGGGAGTGAACCCGAAACCTTCAGATTACAAGACCAAGCTATGAACTCTAACTTTGTCAATACGTGATATAACCCTACCCTCTCTGATGCCCTCGATAGGCATCCTCTTCACCTAGATATGGTGAACCGCACTGGTCACGAGTTTTCTGTGCTGCTGCCATAGGACATCCATCCGGTAACCATCAATCAGCTGGCCACTGATATACAGATTATGGGATTTGTGGGGAAATATAACAATTGAAACTGATCGACATTCCCATGAATCACATAATCTAAACATACTTTCAGCTTGCAGGTTTAAAAAATACAATAAACATTTCCCTTGGGGAAAATGACAGCTTTTCATGTCCTGAAATTCGCCTGAAAAGCTATTTTCTGCTAGTTCCAATCACTTTGTTCGTATAAATCGTAAGAACTAGGTTTAATATATCTACTGTCCCAGAATAAAGTGGAACAAATTCGAATTTATTTAGCTGGCCCCCTGAAAGTAGTAAATTAAGCAATGATAGCTGTATAAGTTAATGAGGAATGCAAGGAGATTTTTCTCCATTTTCAAACTTGAAATCCCTCTCGTGGTGTACTTAATAGAAAAAATAAAATAACTATTTAGAAGAAATTACTAATCCACTAAATTGTCGTGCTATAAGTGAACAATAAGACTGTAACACTGAGGTCTGAGGCTCGAGACTTTTCAGCAAGGATTTTTGGAAAGACAGCGATAAAGGGAGAGCAGCCACATAGTAGCACTTGTTTAAATAGGAGAATCCATCCTTCGAAATTGCCAGATTTACATCCGTATTTAATTTACAGGGTATAATCCTGTTAAAAGGTATTGATATGGCTGTCTAGACCTATATATATTGGCTGAAATCCGATGATGAGTGCTAACAAGAACAAATCCTAAGTACAGACCTTCATAAAGACTAGCTTACCCTAACATCTAATGAACTGCAAGCAAAAAAATTTTCGCTCCTATGAATAAAATAATTTCCTAAAGTTTTTACTTTACTGCAAACTGTAATTTAACCTGTGATATAATTATTCAAGAAAGCTTTTATGTGCTTGAATGAACTAATATTAGTCTTGATTCTCACTTTCCAGTCAACAGTGTCATGTGTAAACATAAACATAAACACACGCACACTTGTAAACACATATGCATACGTGTCTGTTAGTCTTGATCCCCATGACTTATGTAAGTTCGACAGAGGGTTTCTTTTTCTACTCTTCTTGTTCTTCTTCCCCTTAGTTTTTGAGGGTCATAAGTGTATTTGAAGGATAACGGAAATAATGATTATGAACTAATCAGACATCTGAAGATAATTTACACACTAATACAGAAAATCACTGAATTATTTTTCTCTCTTTGCAGTTGTGACTTTCACAGATATGCCCCAGAGGCTTTATATGCAATAAAAAGTTTATATAATTCCACTGAGTACAGGTGACCATCAAATTATATAATTTCACCTCATACTCACTACAAGGAGTATTCAAATAGTCTGAACTTAAGAATACTTAGTTTGAAGGAAATTTGGAAATATGGTTGAATAATAGGCTAAAAACCAATGACTCTAGGCTCCAATACTTTACGCTTCATAAATCCCTAAAGATGACTACTGCTGAGAGAAAAAAGCCGAGTTCATATTTGAATGAACCACTGACAAAGAAGTATTATGCCAGTTCATAGGCTTCGACGCCAGACTGTTTAGAATAAGCTTACACATTTTTGCTAACGTGCATGCAAATGTCCTTCCTGTATTTGATTGCCCCCAGAATGTTTAATCCTGTATCTTTGTTGCTCTTGATTATTACCTATCACCGCAGTCATGCGTGCGTGAAGGTGATCCACTTACTGGAATTGGTAATTCAGTGATTCGCTTACGGTTATAACACAGTTCAAAAGTTGGCCGAATTCGAGTTATCAGTTGTTTCTAATTTCCCCCAAACATGTCTACTTCGCCTAGTTTATTCATCCTTTCTCTTATCGATTGGTATTATGTACGAAGTCTTGAAATTAACCGAATAGTCTTGTCTTACAAATTCATTCTGTCCTGTTCAGTGATTCCTAAAAACTTCGTTTTACTTTAGTAAAAAGGGTTACAGCCCTACTAAACGTACGTTTATTGTTTAAATTTTGTCGATCATATTAAAATACTTGAGAATTCCAGTAATCTACTTTGTTAGAATGAAAGTTCCTCCAATTCTGAGTCACTGTTCTTTAATCTCTCATCGTAGAGCTTCATAAACTCCTGTTTCAACTCAAATCCCACTTCTTCACACATTCCTATGTACAGATACAAACTAACTTTTACTGTATAAGAAGGAAACTGTAAACCCTTACACTGATTTATATAACAAGACCGTGATCGTCTGTGCAAAAGAAAATCAATGCTTGAGTGGAGCAGGATATCTGAATAAAAGAAGTGCTTATAACACTTCAACTAAGTTTATTCTTGAGTGCTACTCACTGACATGGCTTCGCTGTATAAAAAACTAGTTGTCTTAATCACACATCCCAGAGAAATATATTCATAAATGGTCATCCACTGCCTGAGTGACTCATTTAAGCCAACAGATCTTTAATGGCTTAGGAAATTTGTGGATACAGTGACCTGTCTCAGGGACAAATTACCTGTGAGCACTCTCCAGCATGAATTTCCACTGATCGCCTTCAATCACTTAGTATCACTTGATACATATTTTATTTACCTTTGAATACCATATAACTACAACAAAAATTAGCGCTTCTTAGGTGAACAGATGAAATGGTTCAGACAATAAATAGACTATTTACACTCTCATTTTTTAGAAGAATTTATTTCTGGAAAAAAATGTATACAGTTTGTAAATAGCTGGATAGTAGCTTGCTCTGAAACAGATTTGAAACCAGTTATCACCGTACAAATCATAGCCAAAATAAACAGTCAAAGTTATATTCACAAGAATTCAGTTTGTAGTAGTGTTGGATATTGGTTGTAAAGTTGTGTCATACCAGTGATTCACATTTAGATCGTGAATAGAACAGTCATTTGTTTCCTGAGTGTAGACATGTTGTTGTTGTTGTTGGTGGTGGTGGTGGGGTGGACGTTGCTGACCAGAAGAATTATTATTATAACTGAGATTAGTCAACTGCGAACCAGATGAAGATGGTAATGTCACGGACGGAGATACTGAATAAGAGTTTGGAATACTTTGCCAATTGAACAATAAATTCGATGAGCTTCTGAAGTCATTTGTCGAGTGTATAAAGTCTAGAAACTGTAAGTCATTATTTACACTGGATTGACCGAAAATGTTTTCAGTATTTGTCGCATGTTTCAGTTTACTTCTGACATCAGACAGGGATTTCAAGTAAGCCGATGAGTGATCAAGTTCACTTTGAACAGTGTTATTTTCTGAGTGATTCTGATTATCAATGGACAATAGAGGATTAAATAAATGTGAGTAGTTTCCCGACAGCATGGAACAATTCACTCTTTCTTGATATGAAAATTTCGCATCATTCACCATCTGATTATCATAATAACTAGTGTTAGATTCAACAGGATAGGTGAATTTCGACGTCGTTTCATCGTGTTGTTTACTTCTAGCTCCCAAGGTTGCAGATGACAAATAATCGTGAAAGTTACAGCTTGAAGGTACACTATTTTGGGATGCATTCGTTGTACACCAGTTAACGGAATTTTTATTCTCTTGTAAATTAGTTACTGCATAGGAGTCAGTATCATTCATACTGTTAAATGAGTTAGGACACTGTTTATCCGGATGAATAAAATAACAGGAAGCTGCAGCTGCGGCTGCTGCAACTTGAATTTTCTTCCAAGAAATTTTGGATTTATCTTCAGTGTCATTCACATTACCGCCCGAATTAATATCTTTATGGTTTGAATATAATCTGTCTGATAAACACATGGGATTGCTTGAGAAGGCTGACGATAGAGAACAACTTGGTGATGACAATAGTGTAGATGTTGATGAAGGTGAACAAGATGATGAGTGCATAGCCTGTGCCAGACCTGTGAAATCAAATCTGTATGCATATCTTTTCCCATGTACTTTGGTCATGATATTTTTATCATAATAATACCGTAAAGCGCGACTTAATTTATCATAATTCATATTCGGTTTCGACTTTCTTTCACCCCATCTTCGTGCTACTTCGTCAGGATCGATCAGCTTAAATTCACCATCATTTCCTTCCCATGTAATACAGGCCATATTTTGACTATCCGCCAGCAACTCTAATAAGAACTGCCAGAGTTGGATTTGTCCAGAACCTTTAGTGAGGAAAATAAAACAAACAACCAATAAAATATATATATATATATATATATATATATATATATATATATATATAATAAGAATTCTCATGAGTCAGTAGAATCGTGTGTGAGTAAATCTAATTCCGAATGATCACTGCTCTCTTTTCAGGCCAAGCTTGCCTGCTTAAACAGCCGGACTGTTTGAAGCACCTGAATTGAGTCCTGCTGTATGGGAAAATTAATACTACATATAAGCAAAATAAGTCCTTATGAGATTCAAGGGTGAACAAACTATGCACTCATGAATATTAAATTTAAAACCATAGAAAAGATTTATACCACTAATGGACTATATCGATGTTATTGCTTACTCTGCGATGGGTAATTCAATTGAAAATTAGCTTTTTAAAGTTGCTACTGATTAAGCTGTTTGAAATGAGATTTGAAACCTTTCACATTGAAGCCTACCAGTTCACTGCATAGTCCGTACTAACTTGTATGAACTGAAAATTTGCAGTAATGCCAATAAGCTGAGTTATTTCAGGATTGTCCACATAAATGCACATTCAAGTAAAGACATATTTTTTCAGTGAACACTATTCGACATATTTTCAGGGGTTGGTTTGTGGTTATTTAATTGATTGCAATTTTGGTCATGAATTGACTTCCCTTAGAGAACCATCGAGAACCAGATAGTACTGGACAACTGCTTCATCCTTGTTTGGGACTCTTCAACAGTATGCATTCATGACTCCAACAGGGATCGCATCCAAGACGTTCAGGTTATGAGGCGAACTCATAGAACCTTCAGTCACTGGGACGATATCTAATGGCCCATCAATTTCAGCTCCTGCCAATGATTGATGTAGAGCCAGACCGCTTGTGGACGCCGCTGACCATGGCTTCCCATTGGGACTCCAGGTAACCCCATACTGCAGTGAGTCACCAATAAGCGGTAGATTTATTTTCATGTATTGGGTTGCATGTATCTGACTTTCGGTTGCGTTATATCACGAACTGGTAGAAGCCAGAAGCGATGGGCTATTAGATATCGTCCCAGTGACTAAACGGTATACAAGTTCGCCTCATAACCTGAACGTCTTGGATCCGATCTCTGTTGGAGTCATGAATGCATACTGCCGAAGAATCCCAAACAAAGATGAAGCAGTTGTCCAGTAGTCCCTGGTTCTCGATGGTTCTCTAACTGAAGTCAGTTCTTGACTAAAATTGGAGATATATTTCCTGCACACTTCATCTGCATAATCTACGCAATAGTTCTAATCTCTCTAAATGATTACCTTGCAGGCATTTTCAACATCGTATTTCAAATTGTTTTCAACAGAATTAAACAATTCTGAGACGAATTTTCAGAAATGTGGCTTCCTGTGACTTACTAATGCTCACTGATTTTATCAGTTTCGCACATTTTTACGGTGCATCTTTCTCATCTCTCAACAAGACTACAATGACTTATGCGTAGAAGTGATTATCCTGGAATGCTTTCAGGTGACTAGATATCTTTTAGATAAAAAAAACCCCAATTTTGCTACACTACAGACATATAATTTATAATCGGTTAGTCAGTTAGCTGGTTGGTTTATGATTTTCTGAAACAGAATGTTATTGTTTGTGTTTTAAGCAATAAATAAAAAAACAACAACTTTAATTGATCAATAAATAGAAATAAGTCATAAAATGTCAAAAACCTGCTTGGATTTTCCACTATTTGAAATAATCACTTTTGATGCAAGCTAGGATGATGACCATTTGCTCAACTGAAGCTACAGTTTAACAACAGAAGTCATTCTTCCTCTAAATATCTTATTGTATGTAGTTTATTCAACTTAATGAAAAGTAGGGATGCTGTTATATGAAGGCAATTCCTACCGTCTTGTTATATCTTTACGGGAGGTACATATCGCAGTATAGAAACTTCGGATTATAACGTGTACAGTTGTACAGTCATGCAGGTAGTCCGAAGTTTGATCCCCGGCCGGCGTACTCCTTTACCTCGCTAAGTCAGTAATAGGACTGGCAAAGGGGGAAGGATGGGCGTGAGGCTAGCAACCCCATCGTGTAAAAATAAACACCATTGCTACAAGAACTTCAAGCCTGTAGCCTGAAGCCCTATGTTCCACTGGGAAGGTAAAGGAATAAAAAAGTGTATATTTCACTCAGTGATAGAGTTTAACTACCTTGAGATTCGCAAGTTAACCGTCATTAATGGAAAACTAAGCCTAGCTCCACTACTGAAGTTTGTACATAAAGGTTGCAATGATGAGAACTTGTTTTGATTCGTCTAAACAACCCTCTATAATGGTGTAATTTTCCTACTCCAGAGAGAAAACAAATCAGATCTATTTCACAAAGAAAAACATCTTCGATTAAATTGGACAGCATAGCCTCTTGAAATACATATTACTTCACTATTTCGAAAACTGTTATAGTTATTCAGTTATCACCAGTCAGGTACCTCTTAAGAACAGCTCATGTACGATAACATCCATCTGCATTTCTAAACTCTTCTTTAACTTATAATCTTCAGTAAAAAACAAAAGTGAAGATCAATTCTAATGACTGAATCCAGTTCAAACAAATGACATTTTGATCAGTGGAATAATTGACCTAAATAATCTAATTCTAACTCTCACTGTCTTTTTTTATTTAAAAAAGCCTCTCTCTCTAAGCAATAGTCAAGCAATATCGAATGAGTTTGAAACTAAACCATTTATTTGAGAGATGTGGAAACAAAGAAATTAGATTTGACTCAATAACTAAATTTCCTAATGATCTCTAACGACTACAATGTGTGAAAAGCACAATAATCATGCTCTCTGTGTAAAAAAAATTGTGCATACAGAAAATGGAAAACAGTCATCAAATATTGCAATCACCTGAGCATATTTTACAGATTAGAGCTGGCATTACACAGTTGTTGAATACATCATTCAGTAAAACATTCAGTGCTACCCCACTGAATGACGCTTCAAACACAATTTCTTCTTCACAAGCATATCAATGAGAAGTGATTTATTTCAAATTTAGCTCCAGTTCACTAGTAGTCAGAAGGCGCTACTTTTTTATGTTCTTTTTATTCCTTCACGTTCCCCAGTGGAACATACGACTTCAGGCTAGAGGCTTGAAGTTTATGTAGCAGTGTTTTTTTCACAGGATGGGGTTGCTAGCCTCATGCCCAACCTTCCCTCTTTGCCAGTTTTAGTACTGGCTTAGCGAGGTAAAGGAGTGCGTCGGTCAGGGATCGAACCCCGGACCATATGCACGGTCGTCGAGCGTCCTAACCGCTGTGCCACCGATGCGTCGGTGCAGCTGTACACCTGTTTTATTTCACGTATAAATATCACACTGATTTTCAAACTTCTAGTTAAGCTTACACATTGAACCAAAAATTCATTTTACTTTTTGAAAGCTCTAACTCCATCAAAAACTGTTACATCCAGAATTTCTTTTGGCGACAACCAGTTAAGTTACTAGACAGGAAAAAAACGCTTCACTAGGAAGTTACAAGGAAAGTTAATATGAGAATTTGACTTTTGTTTCTACAATAGTGCTTGTTTAGAACGTAAAAGACGAATTATATATATATATATATATTCTTCCTAGAGGACAGGGTCATGCCATCTGTTTACTGACTCAAATGTGTGTGTGTGTGTATGAATAAACATTTATATTTACGCACATACGTATACACAGAAAATATAAATCAATAAGCTGTTTTTTTATTCGCCTCGTTAATGTCAACATAAAAACAAGTTGGCAGCATTAGGCTAACTCTCTGAACTGTACATTATATATATATATATATATATATATATATGTTATGTAATACACCACCACCCGTATATATCAATAAATAAGAAATAGAATTCCAAATAAATGTTTTTCATTCTCTGTTGAAAAACCTGTATATGCTAAAATAAAAGATATAAAAAGTGGAAAAAAGGCCTTGGAATTATCAACCAGAAGGAATTCTGAAATCATCTGGACAATATTTTCCCCCCTAAAATGAATTGCTTACAATTGTTATTACTATTAGTGGTAAAAGTAGTATTCGTAGGTATAATACTGTTTCAATGAAAGTCAAATTAAAGTTTGGTAATTCCTCATTTTGAAATCGAATAACATGGAGGTTGGTGAGATGTTTGTTTCTCTCCTTCACACAAACACACACAAATATATAGAGAGAAATGTACATGCACGAAAAACGGGTAAGATAAAAACAAAATTTTATGCCAACACAACATTTTTCTCTTTACATAACAGTTCTACTTTCCTAAAATCTGTTTTCCTTCATAAAAAAAGTAGAAATATCGATCGACTGTATGTGTCAAATTAACACACACACACACACAAACAGTTCAGCATCATAAAGAAATAACAACAAGTTATAAGGAATAGAAAGAATGGCATTTTATTTCATGGGGATGTTGACAAGGTTTGAAAGAAAATCACTTAATATCCTCCCTCCCCCTTTTTACTTCATTCCTGTTTAATCGAGTTTATGGAAAATTGAAAGTTTCTATGAGTCTTATCAGAAAATTAGTTCTCCCTCTCTCACTGTTTCACAAAACTATCTGTAAGGTGAGTAGTTCCGTGAGCAGTCCTTTAATCTGATGTTGTGTACACTAGGGTAGCTTACATAAACTATACAACACGAAAATGTAAAGATTCTTTGAATTCTTTAGATGTTGACAATGGAAGTCTATACGACAAGAGTATTTTACTCCTGTTCACTTCTTTTTATTACATTTGCTCGTAAAAAGCAGCAAAACCTGACCATCTTTCATAAAACAGGATATTTTGTTATAAGGTCAAGTAAAAAAGCAGGCAGACAGGCTTGGATGGACTTTTATGCAGTGTATTAGTATTCACGAAGAATTGTTGACTTTGCTGTGTAGAACAACTTTGTTTCCTGAGGGGCAAATTTGTTATCAGTATCTCTCAAAGTATCCGAAACTCAGTGACTTATGATTGGTAATCTTCTATTATAACGTGAAGCCTACTACTGATTTACTTATTTGTTTCTTTACAGTAACCAATGAAAGAGTAACTGCTATTTCAAGCCAACACACCCAACAGGGTTGGTAGCATATAGCAGATTACCAAAACCTCGAATTCATGGGCCATTGTATTTCAAACCGAGTGACTGATTGGATAACGTGCATTTCTTTGATCCAACCCATAGTAGGCTTATATAAGTAGGTACTACCAAACAATCCCGAACCAGGACGAAACAGTTTCCCAACAAGCCTTAGTTTCCAGTGGTTCTCCGACTAGTTGTTCATTAGTGGTGAAATCCCCTCCTTGAATCCAGCTAAATCCTCGAAAAATATGGATATACTAAAACAATACCTAAATCTTTAAAAGTACCTTCTGTTTTCCTTTCAGTTCAGCTGTGTAAATATAAAGTGATTCCATTGTCATTTCTATTTACTAATTTATCACATTAGTTTGGGTCTTACTTAAGCGATACATAAACATTAGGAAAACTAACTTATCCTTTGAGTTCACCTACTTAACTGCGGTACATTCTACGTTAACATGCATTGAAATCGACATTAAACGAATGTAGTGGTTACTAGTCATTGAAACAAAGTTGGTACACACTGAGGTTCATCTTAGTTTAGACTGATAAACATGACATCCTTATGTCTTAAAATCAAATATCATATATGAACTGACGAGTCAGAGATTTGTCAAGTTTACATTACTTACACTATTGTCAATATTTTGCGGTACGAAAGGAAGAGATTACCTTTTAGAGAATTTGTGTGATTAAATTAGTTGATAAGTGAATTCCTTATAGAATTATTAGTTAAGTAATTAGGAGAAGCATAGATGGGTTGTATAGTTGGTAATTTAGAGTAGTAGACGGTGAAGTCTAAAATAGGAGTTTTCAAGTTTAAACAGAACAAATGGAAGTTAAAAGTAAATCTTCATAGACAACCCGTAATACTTAACACAACGATAAACGTTTAGGAATAATTTAAGCCTCAAGATACTGTTTGGTCAATGACTCAATAGATAAAATGTCGTGGGTGTGCAGATGTATCACAATAGCTTTTGTCCAAATGGCTTTAAACGTGGTTTAGTCAAGACTCTGTACTATAGAGCGAGGAGAATATGCTCTACAGAGAAACTAGAGGAAGAATTTGAGTTTCTTGAAAAGACATTGAAGAGCAATGGGTACCCTCAAAGGTTCATAAACAAGTATGGAAGATCTGCAGTTGCAAATGAAAAACAAATCACAGTAACAAAAAAGCCAATCTACTTTGAGCTTGACTGTAAAGGCGAAAACATTGCAGTGATGATCAACAGAAGGCTGAGTACATCACTAGCCATAGCCTATCTTGCAGCTAAGCTCGTTCCCGTTTGTCGAACTACTTGCTCTTTGATGTAATCAAAAATCGATAGATATCGTTCTCATGTTAACTCCAACTGTATATACAAATTTACATGTATCTGCGGGAGCAGTTACATTGGAAGGACGGAAAGAAGGGCATATCTACGATTTTCTGAACATGTACCAAAAAGCTAATGTCTAAAGGGAACAAATGCTTTAGGCAGTGCCATCGCCAGACATCTTCTTGACACGGGTCATGAGGTGGACGTGGAAAAGTCATTCAAAATTATCAATAAGCAAAAGAGTTCAGTGCTCCTTAAGTTTACTGAAGCCTTTTCTATCAAGCGCCTAAAACCTGATTTGTGCGTTCAGAAAGAAGCAATTATCAGTCTTTCTTTGCCCTGGTAACTGGATACTTTTCATCCTAATGCGAGATACTGAAAAGTTTTCATTTTGTATGATTATTATTGTTCGGAATAGGGTTTAATATTGCACATATATATATATATATATATATTATTAATGTATGCGTATATTGATCGATTGATTTTTAACTGATTAAAAATGCCTATTAAAATTTTCAAAAGAATGGACACGGAACAAAGAGTACTCTTTTCGATAAATTCATCATCAGATTCTACAATTATATATACATTAGTGTCGTTCATAAGACTAATTCGTTCATTCATTATAATGTGTCCATTCGACTGATTTTTGTTTAAAATGAACTCTGTGTAAATATGTTAAAATTGTTTTTGTAGATACATTTAATGATGTCTTTGCCCTGTAAGCAGCTGACGAGAAGATGGTACCATTTTATTCTGCTAAAACTGTAGTTCTTGCTTTGTTCAAATTCATTAAGGTGAATAAATGTATGAAATATAAGTTTTCTGTCAGACTCATGCTACAATACACTACCTTAAATCTGGCTGACTTTTGGAAATGACACTAGTTAAATATACATGCTGCAGTGAAGAATCGCAACTGATTACATAGAGAGATAAACAGTCAAAATGTAGGAAAGAAACTATCTTAGATGATGATTTGAAGTACAAAGTGATGCGAAATAGCTCCGGCTGATTGATTTTAGAATTTAGTAGTGAGTCTTCAGTGTTACCCAGTTATTACTATGGCGTAATAAATACTCCACTTGAGTACGGCCTATGCTAATATGCGTGATTCAGTTTACAACTAAATCCCCAGTGGTTGGATTGCTTAACCAAAGGAAAAGAGACGGATCTTATTTCTTTAAAAATCATTTGACAGGGAACGTCATTCAGAAATTTCTGCATGGCTAATCTATCTGACGCTTTCCAGTTCAAATGATAGAAACCTAAATAACAACAAAAATGATGGCATAAACAAAATATTGTTAACCTGTCTCCAAACTGCATTATAACGTTATATACTTAACAGAAATACTGATATAACTTACCTTGAGCCCTCAGTTTTGTTCCATGATTTAAGCAGGCTGACTTGTCATGAGTTGAATTTAAATACGACTCTGCATTCAAATCATTTGGAAAAGGGGGAATGGAAAATGAATTAACTGGAAAAAAAATGAGAACAAATCAAAGGAAAAAACATTGTAGGCGATTTTTTGCTGTGTCACTGTCATGGTTACAATTTTTGTTAACTATAGCAAACTGTAGTTGGATGGTGAAAGTGAGCGGTTGTTTTGAATAAATCGTACAACCGTTTCTACTGTTGTATATCACTTTTCATATCAGCAGTGTTTTACTTCTGTCGAAGACAATAAGCTGCCACATATATTGGTAGGGGGACTGCAGAGTTGGAGAAGTCCTTCAAGCAAACAGAGTGAAACATCTGTCCGAGAACCTATATCATATTCTAAGCCCATCCCAAGACTGACTACTGAGATACAACTACAACTAGCTTAATCTCTTGTACAATTTGTCAACAAAACTGATCAAAAAGTATAATAAATGACAACAATCTGAGAAAAATTGTTTCAAATGCCTGCAGTTTAAATAACAAGGAGTGGTACGCATACTAGTGAACGGAAGCTGACCACTATATGAAGTAACAAGTTTGCTAAACTGACAAAGCTGTTATATCACTATGCTTTCGTCACCTATAAACACATCATATAGACGATGGGCACAAGGATTTTTAGAAAAAGTTCACTTCAGATACACTTTATCGTCAACCGTCGAGATAAGCAGAATTAAGTTTATTATGTCAACTGAGGTATCTTTGAGTGTAGGGCAAACACTACTATAAAAGACAAGATTTAACATGCCACTGACCTTCTCACTAAACGATTCAACTGCACGGAACTGAATGTCTAAATTTAGGTTATTCGATAGAGAGTATTCGTACTCGCTTCGGCGGTACATATACTAAAATTGAAACGATACAGAGAAGATTAACATGGCCCCTGCGCAAGGATGACACGCACAATCTTGAAGCGTTCCATATTTTTTGTGCGTTGGTGGCATCGAGGTTAGTACGCTCGCCGACCATGCACATGGTCTGGGGTTCGATTCCCGGCCACCGACGCACTCCTTTACCTCGCTGAGCCAGAAATAATGCTGGTAAAGAGGAAAGGTTGGGCATGAGGCTAGCAACCTCATCCTGTTAACTAAGCACTGCTACAGAAACTTCAAGCCACTAGCTTGAAGGCCTATGTTCCACTGAGAACGTGAAGGAATAAAAAATAAAAAATAGAGAGTATTCACTAAACAATTATCAAAGTGTAAGAGACAATATTTGTAACACTCATGAGCAATGCAACTGCTCCAATGTGTACCACTTAATTACTAAATATCTGTGTTGTTAAAAACAAACGCATTTTGATAGAGGGAATAATATTCCTCCTAATAATTTTAAAATTTCTAATAATCGATTAGTGTAATTTGAAACTTAAGTGAAAAAAAACAAAAAAACAAAGCCTATATATATATATATGGTCTCTTTAAACACATCCTATTTTTCAAGCCAGACCTTTTACCAATAATTGGGAACACTCATACACTGGTGGGCATGTATGCACAAACACACACGAGCGCAAAATTCGTAAAATTACCAAATTAATCCATTAATTTTAATGAACATAATGATACTCCTTATTTCAGTAGTGACTGCTAACATTAGTATGATTATTAATAATTGTTTTTTTTACTCATGGTTGACAAGATTATTGGACAAAGAGGTGTTTTCACTTTAAAAGGATGTGAAATATTCTCGTATATCAGTCGTGGGTGTTGTTGTGGTTTTTTTCTTTTAGTAAATGAAAAGGGAAACACGATGATTAATTCTGTAGAAAATTAATAATATTTTCTCTCGCTCTCTCTTTCTTTCTCTCTGAAGCAAACTTGATGGATTTGATGAATGTTTGTTGTTTGCTTTCTGTTCATGACTGTGATGCATCACTGTTTAAATCTGTATCAGGGAGTAAAAGGCTGACTGAATCATATTTCCTGTGTTACGTAACTGTCTAGTAAAACAGGAAATAACTTGTGCTCGAAATGAGTCTATCCTCCTCAAGTTTAATATTAATTTAATGAATTGGGATTGTAATCAAATTAACAAAATAACTTTAATGAAATCGTCTTTGGTTCTCAAGAAAACTCATCCAGTTGACATTTGGGTTTTTTTTCTTTTTTCCTTCACGTTCCCCAGTGGAACATAGGGCTTCAAGCTAGTGACTTGGAGTTTCTGTAGCAGTGTTTATTTTTTACAGGATGGGGTTGCTAGCCTCATGCCCAACCTTTCCTCTTCTCCAGCATTAGTTCTGGCTTAGCGAGGTAAAGGAGTGCGTCGGCCGGGGTTGGTGGGTGAGAAACTGGTTTCAGTAGAAGCTAAAAGTCGATTGGCAGCAAGTTTGACTGTGTCACTGTGAGGAGAGACTGTTTAGATTTGAACTTATATTTAGGTGGTCGATATTGAATTAGAGGCTTAGTGACTATCAGTAACGGCTACACCAAAATGTATCATAGTACAACACTCCACTGTTATATATTTGTTAAATGTTAAAAAACACAGTCACTCTGGTTTCAGACATTATTAAAGAATTGTTTTGTTTTTTGTATAAATTTATAACTGAAAAGTATTTTTGGGCATAAAACAGACTTACAGTTTTTTGCCTCGAATGCTGTAGTATACTGATGAACTCCATCCATATCTGTCAGGCTACTCGACTGATGCAGATGATTGTAACTTTTGGAAATAGGTGATGAATCTACACATTGTGCTTTTTTAGCGAATTCTGAATTCGTGAACATACTGTCTGTCTTGATGGTGCTTCTTATCGAATAGTTATTGTTGTTGTTGTTGTTGTTATCAGATGAGGTATTGTCTAAACTCATGAATCTGCTTATTCTGTCTTCTGAATCATTAATGCTGCTGGAGCCGACAGGGCTAATTGCTGCTGTGTTACAAGAGGAGTTCGCTGTTTTATTTGGAACTGGACTTGAACTCCTCTGAGTTGCATAGTCAAGACTTGTTGGTCTCATTGAAGAAATTGTACTTTGATTTGGAATATTATTATTATTGGAAGGTAATCCAGCCGGTCGATTTTTTGTGTTACCCATAGGAAGTCTGGGCTTCTTCAGCGAATGACTAGTTGACCATTTGTAGGTAGGATATTGATATACGCCATAGTTATCCATGGGTGGACCATTTTTTATGCGATCAGTAAATGCTGATTCGTCGTTAAAAGGTGAAGATAAATTGTTTGTGTTTGTGTGTTCTGAGCACATCCAGTCAGGAGTATCGGTGAATTCCTTGAAAGTGTTATCAGTTTTAAAGATTTTATCTGCAAAATCAAAGAGAAACATGACAATCAACTTTATGTCAATAGACAGTTTCTTTTTGTAACGTAAAGTTTTGAAGATAAAAAACTACACATACCAACATCACAATATAGTGGAAATTTGTCTCATCCGATTCACTGAGTGAACCAAATAGTAGGTTATTCGGTATTCATTCAAATTCAGTCTGTGCAGATCCCAATCAAACCCTGTCAGCCACTTTTATTCACAAACTTTTTGCAGCGAAGTAACCAAACTGTCTGTTTACAAACTGATATAATACGATACTAGTGTTTTCCAAAACCACTACGAATAACAACTTACTCACTGAATGCCTCAATTAAACTTTATTTATTATTATTAAACAGGCCAGATTAAGAGCTGCGTTAACTGATTGAAGGCCAACAACATTATGAAGTTCCCTGAACTTCTGTATCTCAAGCAGTGTTTGAGTGTATGACTGACTCACTGACTAACATTTAAATGTATTTTGCCATAAATCACAGCTTCTACTGATTGATTACATTCATAGCATGGTCTCTAATATTGATGGTAAAGGTTCTATTATGCATCTAACTTAAACATTCTTCTGTTTTAATCTGTCTGTGATTTACTTACTTAAAAAGTTTGTGCTCTGGATCTGAAGCAGTAAAATGTCTTCGTTTTTAAACGTATCACTGAGAAGTTAATTCTCATAACTCCAAAATTGTAATTAATGAAATCTAAGAGTATGTTAATTAGTCAGAACGACATTTAAGTTATTTTATAAACTGGCATCTTAGTATCACTTGAACTCTACAAATAATTTTGTATTTAAAAAGAAATTTTATTAGAAACTGACAAAGTCAGTTTGATCAATACTCATACTGATTGATGAGCTGCTCTTCAGAATTTTTGGTAAAATTGCAGACTTTCCGGGGACACCATGAACAATATTAGTTTGTGGGATATTTGAAAGATAGTCATTCATGTTGAATGTCAAATAAATGGGGTACTAGAAGGCAGTCTCACATCAAGTCATTACCATGTAGACAAAGCAGGCTGGCTGGCAGATACAAATGCATGACTGGATATACTTGTAATAAATATCAGAACAAAGTGGTAGTGAATATTGCATAAGCTATAAGTCTGCACATGCACATGGTCCGGGGTTCGATCCCCGACCACTGGACGCACTCATATACCTCGCTAAGCTGGAAATAATACTGGTGAAGAGGAAAGGTTGAGCATGAGGCTAGCAACCCATCCTGTAAAAAATAAGCACTGCTACAGAAACTTCAAGCCACTAGCTTGAAGCCCTATGTTCCACTGGGGAACGTGAAGGGAAAAAAAATAAGTTTGCAATAAATTAGAACTCGTTTTCTACCCATAGTACTCAAATTGAAGGGAGGAATTGAGCATTTAGTTTGTGTGAATGTTTAGAGGAAACTTTCAGAATTCTATTGAAATTTATGTAGCTTGACAAACAGAATCTAATAATGGTCGACTAGTAGTCACGAAAAGTGAGATCATTTTACACGTGATTATATAAAGTGAGTATGTAAGCACATGCCAGCAAAGAATAACACTAATGGGATGGTTTTTTTTATTTCTGACAACACAAAACTGTAGAAATAATAAAAAAATTCTGCACAGACTATTTGAAAACGTTACACTTCTTTAAAACTGTGAGTGATTTCAGCATACAAAAGTTGTTTCACTTCAGCTTAACCTAAGGAACTCATCATAACTGTCGGTCTGTTTCATGCAGAAAACTCTAGAAAATAAACCAACACAAGTAACTGATGGATGGTGACTAGCAGTGGGATCCAGGATGCGCGTTTCGTCCTATTTGGGACTCGTCATCTGGATGTACCTGCATTCCCCAATGAGTGATGATGTTCCCACCGAGGCTCGAACCTAGTGCCCATAGTTTCAACACAAGTAACAGCTAATAGAAGTACTAATGATATGTTATGATATGATGTGGTACGGTTGACCGAGATGTGACACTTGGGTTAAATGAAGCTACTGACGACTACATTTACTGTGTAACCAGTCTCTACTGCATGAAAATAAATAAACTTCCGAAAAATATACCATCCTCAAAGATTCGACTGTATTCAAACACATCTTAGTATGTCATAAAATATCTGAATAAACTCACCGGAAAACATAGCTGATGATGTGGAATTGATTAATTTGTAGTATTCACTAGTATTTCCTGTTTCAACGGATGGCATATAGAAACGACAATGACTAATGCACATATATATTTATACATAGGCAAGCAGTCTGTCAGTAGTAGTACCGGTGGCATGTATTTAGGTAGAGAAAATGAGGGGGATAGAAAGAAGGGAACAGTTTTGTAGAATTTACAATTAGTATATACACAGCAAAATTACTTGAATAGTTATGATGACATACACTGGGAGGTGTTCACTAATTCACCAAAGGGGAAACGGGTCATATTTATTACGGTAAGTTATGATGAAGAACACCGAAATGCATAACACCTGGAGAATAACAGTTATTTCCTTCCAATTAAAAGAGTGAATTTTACAAATGTGTGTTTTGATGTGAGTTAGCTGAGATTAGGGACATTTAAGAGAGACAAAATTAAAAATTCATAAAAGCAGTGGAAATAACACACATAAATATATACACACAGATTCTCTTACTTCTCACCCCCTTGTGATAATCAGAACGAAAGTTAATGGAGTGAGAGATATGGGGAAAAACTCATCTCTAATTTCGTTACACTATTTGATTGGTTAGAATATTATAGGCAAATTTCTCTATTTAATTTGTGACTATTTTTCTAATTATTAACTGTTGATTTCTCCACATTAAAATGTTTTCATACATGTGAGTGATTATCATCGTCACCTAATCCGGTCTCAACAAACACTTTCCAGTGTAAACGTTTTCAAATCTTCAAGTAATGGTTTTCGTAGGGATTTAGTTTGACTGGTTGGAGGATTTCATCATGAGCTGACATCAGTTAGAGAACTGTTGGAAAACCTGAAGAGAATACTGGACAGCTGTCCATATCGTCCTAGTTTGGGACTCTTCTGCAGTACGCACCCAAAACCGGGGTTCGAACCCAGGACCTTCTGGTTACAAGACAAGGTAGCTCGTAGACCACTAAGCCACTAGGACCCTATCCAGTGGCCACCCCATGAATTCTAACTTCTGCCTATTCATGACATTGAGAAAGTGGTCGCTCTATGCCTCACTTAGAACGTCATCACTCGATGAGATACGCATACGACCCACTGACGAACTCACCACTAACCATAATCAGTCACATAACATTTAGATTTAGTTCTCCGTCAGAAATATGAACTAACTTAGAGTTCAGCGAAAGAATGTCAAAAGGAAGTTGTAATACATTACCACCATTATTACATTGGTTTATGTAGTCCAGTGAACAAGAACAGCATTCTGGTGGAGAGAAGAATAAGCAGAAACTTAATCCGGCTACTCAGAAAGGATACGGAATACATTTACTTTCGATAGTACAAACCAGAGACAAAAATGACAGTGTAATAGCGAAGAGATAAGATGGTCTTGGTATGAAAACTGAAAGTGGGATGGGTGAGTTTTCCGAGGTATCATTTGTTATTGGTGGCAAAAGAAGGAGTGTTTTATTCCCTTAGTTCTGACTGGCTAGTTTATTATGCAACAAGGTCTATTATATATATATATATATATACATATATATAGGAAAAAATAATGAAACACTGGAGTGTTATCCATTTTATTCTGGGGTGAAAATTACACTGTTTGTAGTGACTAGATGTATTTTATAATTGACTCACAAAGTGACCATGCTGAGACAATCGCATAACAATGAAACTGATATCTTAGTGACTGAGAATACAAGACGCCTGTTTCTTTGTAAATGGATTTTTATCACTGAAATTTAAAAGCTGTTTTCAACCACCTGCAAACAAAGTTTTATTGTATACTAAAATTCAAACAGACAGTATTCTTTCCAGGGTAAAGTGTGATAAAAAGTATGGTAATATTTCACGACAGTGTTAGAAGATGAATTTAAACTGTCAAAGAAAAATTAAGTGCATAACACTAGTGAAAGGTCTATGTGTCCTTGAATGGAATAAATCTCTAATGTGAAGTTATGTTCCAGATTCATTACAAATAGCCAAAATTAACAGTTCTAAACATAACTTCTCTAACCAGCTGATCTAAATTGAAATGACTAGTTAATACGCGAAATGTAAGCCAAACAGATGGTCATAAATGGGTATTTTCCTAGGTAAACATCGTCTGTATTATGAAATGAAATCGTTTAAAATATGACATCTTTCGTAGAGTGTTGAATGCCTTCACTTTATCACCCTCTAATGCCTCTTTCTTGAAGGTATGTTAGCTGTAAGGTTTGTAAAAAGACAAAACATCGTTGAGTGTTTTAGCAAGCATGTAATGCAAGGTATTTCACAGACTCATTTATGTCATTAACACTCTAAAAATAGAACACAGCCCCTACTTTGAAGATTGATATTTTAAGAGATAAGGCTCTCTGCGGATAAAACATACCGAATTATTTCAAGCCCACAAAAGTATAAATTTACTATATAAAATATTTCAACATTATTTTACATAAGTAATTACCTTGCACTATTTAATACAGTTCGAATAGTAAATATTTTCTCTGGAATAATATTGTCATAGTGACTTCTCTTTCTTCACGTATTTTCAGTTCACTGAGAAAAACGTAGTACGCAACATATTTCTTTCCGAATAGCTAAGTTCTTAGCCAGAAATGAGGTGGTAACAGTCAGTTTTTCTTCATTTGAACATAAGTCCTCCTTCATTTTCCTGTTTGCATACTAAAAGAAACTAAATCACAACAAATAAAAGCTGTCATTTACCCCACAAATGTCTTTTTAAATTTCCTCAAAACATAATTTATCCATACACTTTATAGAATTGCAGATTCCAACTGTAAAATACCTACTTATCTAACTGACTCTTCTCAGAAAGCTAGTGAATTATCATTACTGCACTGGCAGGTAAAACGCCACACAACTTCAATAAGTTGTGTTTGGAAGCTTGGATATCGCACCGTACATTAAATTTGTTTTACAGATTTCACAAAGCACATCTTCAGAGTAAATGAAAATTCATAAATATGCAGCAGCTGTTTTGACGTCCTAAGTATTGCGAATATTCAATCGGAACAAGTTAAATAGTTTTATTGCCTTATGATCTTTTAAATTTTTGATTACAGCTTGATTCCACATCGAATTTTTTGGTACAAGTATGGAATTTTCAGCATGTGATATCGGTAGCCCAAATTTTGCAGGCCGACCATAGATATCAGGTGTGCGTCGGCAGGGGATAATATCAGTATTATATACTACCTAATTTCAAGCAACACAATTTTGTCTTTCACGCAGTCAGATTTAAGCGGTAATTATGTGAACCCAAGGAAGCTAGATGCAGGATTATTCCAAAGTAATTATAATACTTGAGGTCAAGAGTAGCACTTGGCCAATTTTGTCTATACTGGCCATTGACTTAAACACACGATTTGAATATCAGCCTATCATTGCCCCTGGTGTAAATGATGCCTGAAGTATAATCAGGTTGGAATAAATTTACGGATGGCTTCAGCGAGAAGTGATATTTAATTAACGGAGCAAGTGAGTTTTTTGCTTTAATCACGGGAATGATTGCAGACAGTCTAGATGTAGTGCCAGTGGTGGGTAACTCAATGATGTGTCTAAAAATCAGTCATAGTGAAGAAATTTGATTACTGTTCTGGATTCCAAGTACTTTACGAACTTGGATATCTTATTTGTTTACATATTTTTGTTTCCTGTCAAAATAAATTTCCATTGATGTTCGCATTATGTGCTACTGTAAAACTTACTACCTTGAAATGATGACAATTTTCATGATTGCTTTTATGTTGCTCCGACTTATTATCCTTTTAGTCACATTCCATAATATAACAAGACTTGAAATCACTACACACAAAGTACGTAGTCCTCCAGTAGTCAAGTTTATTTTTATCTGATAGGGTGCAGCAGGTCGGGTGTGAGGACAAATACTCGCCGAAGACATTGGCTAGGGATCGCGCTATGTCATGAATTGGCAGAAGTTAGAATTCATGTGGTGGCCACTGGATAGGGTCCTAGTTGTTTAATGGTCTACGAGCTAGCTGGCCTTGTAACCAGAAGGTCCTGGGTTCGAACCCCGGGGTGTGGGTGCGTACTTCTGAGGAGTCCGAAACTAGGACGAAACATCTGTCCAGTACTCCCAGGTTTTCCAGTGGTTCTCTAACTGATGTCAGCTCATGATGAATTCCTGTAACCAATCAAACCCCTACAAACCAACACTTGACAGGGAAATTGTCAAAGTTTTGTTAAATACTTTGTCATGAATGGAGTCAGTTAGTGTGCATGTTGTATGCGTACATTCGTTTGAGTTGTTTTGGTGACCAAACGTTTTCTACTACCGTGTAACTTTTCGAATGCGTGTTCACTTTTGGACATGGTTACTATATCTATGACTAATTTCAGTTTTTACACTAAGAGACTCTCATATATTGACATGAAATTGAAAATGAAAAACAGTAGGCATTAGAAAGCGATCAACTTAACTCAATCAGGGAAACAGAAGCATCTAAAAATTCCTCTATATAATGAGCAGAAATCAAGCAATCCAGTTTATTGTCATACATTTAAGTGATTGTTTAAAAAAAATTAAACTGTAAGCATAGTTTTTTGCTATCCTGGTAACAAACTCACAGTAATTCACTCTTAATAAAAAATTTTAAAAAAAAGAAACGCTTGAGAAATAGGCCATTACAGGCTAACCTAATCGCCTTTAGCCCGGCTACATGGCACGTGTTTACAGAAGCATGAAAATGTTTAAGGTCAAAGATTATAATTTCATACACTTTTTGTTTTAGTCAGAAGGAAATTTTGAGTCTGATTTCTCTAAACGAATTAGTAGACATATCCTCTTAGACATATTTTTATTTCATGCTACACAATTATGTTACAAAAAAATAAGAACTTGTATTTTTGTTACCGAGTCTCTTAATTTCAATGAGAAGTTACTTCACCATTCCTCATTAAGCTCTATTATCTGAAACGCAATGATATGCTCGAAACTGAAATTTTCATTCACCACAAGAGGAATTACAAAATAATGCGTTCTACTACTCTAAAAAGTCAGAAGTATGTTCATTGTTAATAACTGTGGA